GATGAAAAATGTTTGACAATAGTCAAAAGTTACATCTACGCTTATGAAGCTTAACTAAACATACATTTCAGGTGCGATAATCAAAACGTGCCGAACCAATTTTTCTTTGATTTTTCAATTAATATAATTGTTACTATTTTCTGTAGAGTGGGAAAGTATGATAATATAATCGAATATTGCATTCATTATAATGATAATGAATCTTATTGCTTCATGAGGTAGTTACTTAAGTAATTTTCTATTTATGATATGGTATCTTGACCTTTTTTTATTAGTAAGATTTGCTATTATATGATTTATTTCATTTCCTTTTACATTATTTACTATGTAATTACTACAGTTAAATGCTTCGATATTCTTAATCAAGGCTATTCCTTTTTTATTATACTACGTGGTAAGGATTTAAATGCGTTTTCTAAATGCTTAGCATAGGAGTTAGCTTTTTCTATTTCTATTTTTACCCATGTTCTATTACTGTTTAGTATAGGAAGAGAGAACTGTTAGGGGCAATTTATTTTTATTTTTGATTTCCAGAGTAAATAATCTACGGCTTTCATGACAGTTAAATTCACTAAACAAAATTTTATTCCCGCAAACAAATTATTTTTAGTTTTTTTACTGATTGATTATAATTTATTTTGTCAGTGTTTGTTCTAGTTTGTTGTCATATTTTTCTAAAATTGTTTCCGAGATAATATGTTGTGTTTTGAATTGATTAAGTGTTTAGGGGTTGCACTATTTATCACTTTATAAATAATTCTAGTTGAATTTTCTATTGCATTATCTATATCTAGAATAGTTTTAAATGGTATTGTTCACCTTAATTTTCCGTTTAATATTTTTCGGGATGTATCCTAGTTTGTTTTTGTATTGTAGAGAGAATTATTTTTGTATTTATTTCTGAAAAATAGTGTATGATTATTGGGTAATGATCTGAAGTGAATTATAGGCATGATTTGGCTTCTAGTTTTTGGGCATAGTCTTTTGATGACTGTAAAGTCGATTACACAAAAGGCCGGTACTGTTCACTGCTCTCCAACAACGGCCGTGCGCACGCCGTTGATGCGCGTCTGTCCAATTCTCCACACGCACTGGCATTGAGGATAGATGCTGGATGGTCGTGACCCAGCCACAACTCATAATCACCAAACTGTATGCACGCTCCGCAGATCAGACGTGTATCCTTGTGAAATAAGTCTTCGGCGAGGGTGTGTACTGAATAAACAAAACGGAAAACTTCTGCAGAAATAGACATGCGTGGTTACTAAAATAGCTAGCAGTTTCTAACCAACTTTCTAATAAATAATAAAATAAATAATGAAAAATATGAAAATAAGAATTGTTAATTAATAAAATTAAGTTATTGAATAATTATAGATCCAAACAAAAAGTGAGAAGGATAGGATACTCCCGGTAGAGGTGCTTAGGAGGAGTATAACTCTAGGAGTAAGCAAATAAGCGACTGCTCTTAGGGTCTCTTTTTCTGAAATCTGCTAAGAGCTATCAAAAGGTACTAACAGCTGTCTAAGCAAGTATAGTATCCACTGTGTTAGATCAGCTCTGTAGAGAGAAGACACAGACACCTATATCTCTCTCTCTCTTCTTCTCTCTATTCGCCAACCACTTAGGTCAGTAAGTCAGGACATACTTATATACTTATCGCGTTGATCCTGAATATATACGTAGCATATGTACTAGAGTGCAATCAAATATTTAGCAGGAGTACGGTGGAGCCGAACAGGCAGTAAGTTGTGTCGTTTCCGTTCCCGCCAAAATGCATCATCCTGCTTGAAGAGAGTCTATCCCAGACCTGGGCGACGCTTACATAGATGCGACATCGAATGGAACAGAACCGTGAACTCGACGAGAATGATATAAAATTCATAGTCGAGTATTTAAACCTCAGTTATATGAGGCTTTTTGTAGTCTACGAACTCACCACGCCTCTCGCATCAGCTAATTACATCCCGAATCATAGTATCAGACAGCAGCATGGACTAGGATAAGATATTCCGCGTCACCTTTAATTTGTCTCGCCCTGTCTTCATAGACTACAGTGTGAACGACGCCTTGCACACCGGATTAAAACTGCAGAGGATCATATAGCTACCGTCATCGTCTACTGAAGAAAGCATCGCATCGGTGAGATGTACGTCTCATACTTCGTCCTTCGTACGATTAAGCAGCTATGTTTAGGCGAAAGAGATTGTTTTCTATTGATGCAAAAGATAATTGAAAAGAATTTCTACATGTATGACTTTCTGAGCTGTAACCACGATCTGGCGTCCGACTGCCGTCTGTGGAACCAGCTCTTTGCACTCTTCATAGCGAGCGAGTTCTGTCTCAGGAAGTAGGTTATCAGTGATACCGCTCTTTCGTTCGAGGTCTCGCAAACAATCACCTGTGACCCAGCTAAGTACCCTTTTCCCAATGCATTGTAACGTTTGAGTCTATCTCGCGTTATCAAAATAATAGTTCAGACTCTTTCTATCGCGTTTGTAATCGCGTTTCCGAAAGTAGCAAGAAGTAGACACGTGTATATTCTGCTAGAAATGAAATATCAAAATTTGTCGAGTAGTAAACGAAAAGTTTTCTATCTCGATGAACCGTCTTGAAATACAATTGGGCGTAATTGCATCTATCGGGGAGAGGCCCGACAGCGTCACAACCAATACTCAATCTAAATTCTCAACAATTCATAAAGTTGAAGGAAGGAGATCTCTAAGGCTACTTTTTTCTCATAAGAGAGATAGTCTTATGAGTTGAGCGCTCAGGTATCAAAAGGAGAGGAATTAGCAGGCTAACCACTGAATAAAGAAATTAGTCTCAGGAGATTGCTGAGCTTTATTTCTAATCAATGCTCCCGCTGCTAAGCAAGGTAGGATAGTGAATCCTCTTGCCGCAGCGACGAGCGAATTTATACTTGTGAAAACAGGCTCCTTTCTACGCTTGGTAGTCCCTACAACGCTATTTTTAAATTGATATAAACTTTGCACATGTTTTGTCGCAAAATGGCTCGGTCGAAATTGCAATTTTATGATTTAAAAAATTAAATATGAAATAACGAGTTTTTTAACATAAATTGTTTCTCGAGGAAAAATTGCCTTTTAGAGTTATAAGTAGTACAATTTGATAATCAAATAACGCCAATTTTACAATAAATTTACGGAAAATTTTTACATTAAAAAATCGCTTGTGATTAGTGGAACATTATTTAAATTAAAAACGATTAATATAGCTATCCAATTTTGAATAATAATTAAACAACGAATTTGCAAATTTCTTTTTTAGCCATTTAAAAATCAGCAAATTAGTGACAATCATTGTCATTAATTTTACAGATATGTACAATTAACTCGCTATCTAACAACGCAATTTTAATTGTTTAAATAAATTATAACTTTTTTATTTATTGATAATTCAGTGAATAATCAGTTACCAAAGTGTCAAATTCTTGCTTCTCTGTTTCAATACGTCGCGGACTTAATCGCATATTCGAATTAACAATATAATTATTTATTGCAAAATAACTAACACTATTAACTTGTAAATTAAATTAAACCAATAAATACAGACTTGAGAATTATAACAACATGAAATTCAATATCAGCGCATCAAAATTGACTAAAAAAATGCTCTTGTTCATTTGAAAAACTTTATAATTGTCGATTTTCCATTGTAAACAATAAATTTTCCACGGTCGTGACGTCACGCTCCTTATATGGTAATATTTTCGCTGAGTTGCTCTAACACATTTACATATATGTGATAAAAGCGCCTTCACTCAATTACCGCTTTTCTTTGATTGTCTCGTGCACGACGGGTTGCTATTTTGCAGAAGGAAAAAAGGGACAAATCAGACTGGACTGTTACAGCATAAACTCGGCGTCGGCTGGGAACTGGCCACTGATGTGTTCAGATTCTGACTACCTCCTATTAATACAGAATTTTCGTTCACGAAGCTGAAGATCCTCACCGAACTCTCCAGCTTCTTTAACCCTCCTGGTTGACAAACACCTCTTCTAGTTGTGGTCAAGCTAATTATCCAAGATTTCTGGAGGAGGGAAATTAACTGGGACGAACTTTTTTTTCAAGGCTTGGGTCGACAAGTAACTCGGATTCCACTTAAGCATTAGGAAAACCAAAATTTATTTATTCTGCGGTGGAACGGCCAAACGACTACTGGAGGCCTTATGTTTCATGCTTTCGCGGACACCAATTGACAAGCCGTCATAGCGGTTCTTTACTTGCAAATGACAACGACATTTTGCTCTACATCGAGACTGTTCTCGATGAAGAGTTTTCAGTCTTCATCTTCCAGCGGGTTACACTCAATAATTCCGCCCCTGAAGTTCTATACCGTCCTCATAGTCGCTCAAATTAAATCCGAGTAGTGACTGCTTATTCGCTATAGATCCCACTGACGTTCTGCTATCTATGGAATAATTTCAGGGTCGCTGTGCATTAATTTCGCACCAATAATTCCGTCAGAAATGATTACGTGGACAACGTTTTGCCCATTACCAGAATCAGACAGCTGGAGTAAACTTATATCACAGCGCCATGCTCACCTCAAACTTACTTTGGTAGAGTGTCTCAAACTGACTGTTGTATCTCTCGACAAGTTGATATGTACTCGTATAACAATCCAACACACGGCGGCATTAGATTTAGAACTTTTTTAAGATCTCAAAATAATAGTTTGCTACGATCTTTTGATTTTGATGATTTTTTATAACCTGTAAATAAAAAAAATATATTTACTTCCACGATATATCTAGGCCTAATTATTTGTATGCCATGTAATATGTGGTACATATAAATAAAATAACTAGTTCGTAATGGACGTGATAATTAATATAGGTAATAGTATAGTAAAGTATGTAATGTATTGTAATAGTATAGGAAATTCATACTTCAAACGAACACCGCTTATTTCTAAAATATGACTATTATTTTTTAAATTCTATAAATACATTTAAAAGACTTTTTTTTAACAGACATCATTTTTACCGGAAAAAGATATGTATCACATGACTAAAGCACACATGCTTGCTTCAATGGATTCATGCATGGGCGGTCGTGCTGCTGAAGAATTGATTTTCGGTCAAGATAGAATAACATCCGGAGCTTCAGTAGATTTTTTGGTAAGATTTCTTTATAATTCATCTTTATTGTTACAATTATTATTTAAGATAACTATAAAATAATATATCAAAGAAAAATAAATTATAATTCTGTATATTATTAAAATATCCGCTATAAGTATCATAAGGATTTCTCATATAAATAATAAAACATGTAGCAATAATTGGCGGTACATCACAGTCTGTCTTGTCAAAATTAAAAAAAATTTCAAATTCAAAGTATGATTTCTAGATAAGTTATTTTTTTCAACCTAAAAATACAATAATATTTTTGTATTGTATATTTTATGTTGTATGATTATTATATGTTGTTATTATATATTATTATTATTGTGCACCGTTATGTCCTGTAACGCAATCGTTTTTGAAATATCTTAATGAGTTCACGATTTTGTAATTAATTGAATTCAACGCAAAATTCATATGCCGAAAAATCAATACACTCGATTGTACCTTTACTTTTCGGTAGTTGATTTGCGACAGCCAAACAGCTAATGGAAATTGTTATAAATGTTTTTTTACTATTGTCATTTCAATTTATTCAATTAGACTTAACACATAACTTATTCAATTGGCCAAATACCAAGTCTAAGTCAATTTAGTCATTAACCTTACGTAAGTTTACGTATTCATTAAATACGTGAGGAGCAAGAAACTATAAAAAAGGGAAAGAGAAGAGTAAAGTGAGCAACAATAAAGAATAGTAATATAAATCAGTTTAGTTCTGTCGCTTATTGTAACCATACCGTAAAGTAATAATACGAAATTAATAATACAGGCCGACAAGGAAAAAAACCCAGAAACCAGACAGTACATTCCCAAAGGTTTTTGGTGCACCGAAAACGAATCTGACCTCAGAATTGTTACATCGTCCTAGGTTTTCAAGAAATCCTAATCTAAAAGTTCAAAAAACACGATTTTTCACTATATTTCGCGTAGTATTACGTCGTGATCCAATTTTATTTAAAAAAACTAGTAAGACTATTTTAAAGTACTACTCTTACCCTTCAAAACCGCTATTTCATATTTAAAAAATCTTTTTTTCTATCGAGATATCGTAGATTGAATTTAAATGATTTAGCAATTTCGTTACAGCATGAAAATAGTGGCGAATTTCCGAATAAGGAGTTATAGTATAATTTTATGTTTTTTTGGTCACTGAATCCAAATTTAACGTCAGAACGACTCTATAATCGCAATTTCCACAATCCTAGAGCCTTTTAATCTGCTATGATATAACCCCCGACCCTCACACCTCAATTTCCATAACTTTCGGACATGTAACTTTGCCACGCTATAACCCTCAACCTTCCCTCACCAATTTTCTTAACCCTAGAGCCCCATAACCTGCGACGCAGTAACCCCGACTCTGATACCCCAATTTCCTTCAAGCACTTTAACCTGCGAAACTATAATCTCCGACCCTCACACCCCAATTTCCTTAACCTCCGAGCCCTTTAACCCGCTACGAAATTATCCCCGACCCTCAAGTCCCAATTTCCGTAACCCTCGAGTCTTTTAACCTGCCACGCTATAACCTTCGACCCTTACAACTCAATTTCCTTAACCTTCGGACACGTAACTTTGCCACGCTTTAACCTGCGACCTTCACTCCCTAATTTCCTCAAACTTCGAGCCCTATTATCGCGATGCTATAACCCCCGACCCTCATACCGAAATTCGCTACGCAAAGTACCTCTACCCTCCAAATTATATTCAACCTCCGAGCCCTGCAAGTCTGCAACCTTAGACTGCTTTGCCAGAATTTTCTCAATCAGCACTTCAAGCTGATATCGTATAACCGTATGTTTCCACATTTCAATCCCTTCAATATCCAAGCCTTGTATTCTACGCAGCATTCAACTACGCCTTTCAAATCTCATATACGAGGTCTGTCCGGAAAGTATCGGGCCTACCTTTATATTTTCGTGCTAGCGTTATTCTTTATCATCTGGTGGGTGGCATCCTTCAAAGTAATCCCCACTTGATTGAATAACACGGTTCCATCGATGTTTCCACTTTTCAAAACAGTCCTGGAACTCACTTTTAGGGATAGCCTTAAGTACACTCGTCGCATTGTTTTCAACCGTTGATTTGTTATCGAATCGGTGTCCGTTGAATGGTTTTTTTAGTTTTGGAATCAGCCAAAAGTCACAAGGGGCTATGCCGGGACTGTATGGAGGTTGTCGAAGCAATGCGATATTGTGTTTGCTCAAAAACTGCTGCACAAGATTGGATGAATGAGGTGGCGCATTATCGTGATGAAGAAGCCAGTCACTACTTTCCCAAAAGTGCGGCCGTTTTCTTCTTACTGCATCACGCAAACGTTTCAAAATTTGAACGTAGTATTCTTTATTGATTGTCTGACCTGTTGGTGTATATTCATGATGTACAACACCTTCACAATCGAAAAAAACAATCAACATTGACTTAACATTGCTCCGACTTCGACGTGCTTTTTTTGGTCATGGCGATTCAGAATGCTTCCACTGTGAAGATTGTTGTTTTGTTTCAAGATCATAACCATAAATCCATGATTCATCACCTGTAATAACTTTTCTAAGCACATTATCATCATTATTGACCGTTTCCAGATTGTCCAGAGCGATTTCTAAGCGAATGTTCTTTTGCTCTGCTGTGAGCAATTTTGGGATGAATTTCGCACACACGCGTTTCATTCCTAAATTTTCGGTTAAAATTTCTGAAATGATAGTTTTTGGTATCCCAAGGTCTTCTTCTAGTTCTCGCACAGTCATATGACGATCTTGTTCGATTGCAAGTCGCACCCGCTCAATATTATCTGCGGTTTTTGTCGTCGAATGTCGGCAGGAACGCGAATCACTATCGACAGAAGTGCGACCATCCTTGAACCGTTTATACCACTCTTTTATTCGTGTTTTGCTCATACACTCGCTTCCGAAGGCTTGATTTGTAACAATATCAAAATCCGACGAACGCGAAAAAGACACTGTAAACAAAGACACGCTGCGCATGAACTATACGTCCGGCAGATGTCAGTAAGTAACCAATAGATTTGTGAGGCTTTACTGTTGACGTTTCTGTCCGGTAGAGGTCGCTCGAACACTATGGTGCGAAGATATAAACGTAGGCCCGATACTTTCTGGACAGACCTCATATTCAGTTTGTGAGTGTTGCATCTGAATATTGGCAACCCTACAATTTTTCACTTTTTTTTATAAAACTCCTGTCGTTTATTTTGAAATCAACGTATAAGAGATTTATGTTTATGATGATTTGTCAAATATATCGTGTCGGTGTAGAGCCCAGCAGTAGGCAGCCATTATGCTTCTATTCCATCTACCTTGATAATATTCTCCTTTGTTTCTGAAATCTTGATGAAATCTTTCACCAATTTCTTCACTGAACGCCCCAACATTGTCCAGAAAGTATTCCAAATGTGAAAATAAAAACTGTATTTTCAGGCTCATCGAACACCCTAATTTTTGAAATTTCTGTAGCATTGTGTCGACACAATAGTTTGATATTTACGGTCCCGGTGGTTACGGAGAAAATTTTCAGTGATACTTTTGAAACTTATCCAAGCATATCTCTCTTTAGTTGTCATTGTTAAGAGGAATTCATCATCTTTCATAAGTGCTCGAATATTTGTCCCTACAAATATGCCTTCCTTAATTTTTGCTTCAGACAATTTAGGAAATTTGCTCTGAAGATACTTGTAACATTCGCCTTCCTTATCTAATACCTTGACGAATTGCTTCATCAAGCCCAATTTTCTATGGAGTGGAGGTAACAAGATGCGTTTAGTATCAACAAGACTCTCGTGCACGACGTTGTGTGATCTAACAACCATTCCGATTCTTTTCGGCCATTCTTTCCCAACCCAATTCTCTTTTCGTGCACAACTGTCCCAGAGACACTAAAAACAGGGGTGCTTCGTTTTTCTAGATTGCAAGCCAACTAATATATTGATCATCTGGAAATCACCACAAACCATCTATTTGTGTTCATTGTAAGTGATTTTCTCAAAAGGGAATCAAAAGCTATCATGAGACTCTTTCATCACAGTGGAATGAGTAATGGGAATAACTGCATACTTATTTCCTTTTTGCAGAAGTACTACCTTGAGACTTTGTACAGATGCATCGATGAAGAGTCGCCAGTTCTCTGGATTATAACCTCCTTGCACTCAATATAAACTGATGAGATGCTTTATATTGTTGCAGTAAACAAGATTATCCAAGTAAAATATGGCCGATATTTTATATCTCTCTTCCTGTAAATATAACTTTTGTCTCAAGTAATAATAGATTTCTTTCTTTTAGTCTTGAAACTAAGAATTCTGAAGAATCTTTAGGAAAATTCAAATTACGGATCAGATCATCCAAAGAATTTTGGTCGAAAAGGTTGGGCTTTTCTGAGTCAGAAAAATCTTCTTCATCACTCCTATTGCTTTTGTTTGTTACTGGAACTTCTATTGGTTCAAGTTTTTTTGGCTCAGAATCAGAATTTTTTTTCTTTCTATTTTTCGATACTGAGCTGCTGTTACACTAGAAACGTTCGGATAAAGGAGAGAAGCTTTGTTATTATGATTAAAATCTAAAGTATCACATTTACTAAAGTAACAGTCATCATGGTGATTTTTAGATTCATGTTATATTGTTGGTTGGAAAACAACTTCGGTTTTAGTTTTATTCCAGTTTTTCAAACTTCCGCAAGTCTTCACAAATATATTTGGAAAATCATGGTTTATCTAAATTCTTCATAGCTGTCTCGTAACATTCTTCAATCTGATCTTAAATGATATCAATGATTGATCGACGAAGTTGAGCTACTTCAAATTTACCGCAGATATTACAAAAGAAATTGATTTTTCCTTTGCATGGAATTAGACATGCCGATATCTTCAATAACTTATAAGTCAACTAGGAAATCATGAATAATATTATAAACTTATTCTAATAACGAAATAGGTAAATATAAATAAATTTTTAGAAGACGAAGCAATAATATAAATTAAA